CTACTCCTATCCCTACTCCTACTCCTACTCCTACTCCTACTCCTACTGCTACTGCTACTGCTACTGCTACTGCTTACGAATTCTCTTCCCTTCAGGTGGTCCCTGCGTCTCCTCCGCTCTGCCCGCGATGCCCCGGCCTTGTCAGCGGCCGCGGCCGCTTGCGGCAGGAGAGGGCTGAAAGGGCATGCTCAAGTACGGCCTGAACTCGATACTTTGAAAAAGCCAAAGGGCCAACCGCACGCCTTAAAACTCGAAAACCTTGCAGCCTTCCTGCACGAAAGCCTCACAAGGCCACTGAAGACCTCAAGCCTTGGAAGCGGTCGCTGTAGGCTGCGGAAGTCAGCCCGAGCTTGTTCTTCTCAGGCGGCGGCAGTGGCAGCGGAGCCTGGCTCTCTTTCAGGAGGTGCCCGGATAGCTTTGCAGCCAATGGAAGTTGTATCGGTGGAATGATGGTACTTTGAGAAATGTTAAAGCACCCTCGGCTGGCCTCGTAGCATGGCAGTTGTGTTGTTTGAATGCAAGATTTCGTGACTTGCTGCAAGTCTGACAATCCCAACTCCAGGCCTGCGCGCGGCGTCTGCCCTGGGATGCCGGCCTTTTGCAGGCTCAGAGATCACCGGGTCCTTCGGGGATCTTGATATGTGCAGAGAAAGAGGCCGGTTGACAGAAATCGAAACAGTAGTTTTGAGGAGTCCTTGTTCAAAGGTACCCCCCTTAAGAAATGCCCGGAAACTCCCAAATCTGATACCTGCGCCAGGCCGTGCTGAGTGCCTTGGCAGAGGCCAAGCAATGGGAGCGAGCGATGAGTCTGCTGAGATACCAGGACTCACAAGCTTCCAGTTTGCGGAGCTTCGGGTAACTAAATCACTATAGTATAAGGGTACTATAACGCTATGAGCTGGAAGGGTTCTATTATGGGTAGTTTATGTATGTAACAACGTGCGCAGTCAATATGGTGCGGCTTTGCGCAGGAGGCTCCAGACCTGGCTGCTTGCAATGCCGCGCTCAGGGCGTGCCCAGGCAGGATGCGTGGACCTGCTATGACCCTGACTCCCACCTTAGGGTTTAGGGTTTTGGGTTTAGGGGCTATGACTCTGTTATATGCACGTTCAGAGGAGCAGCTGTTGAATGATTGCTCCCGAGATTGGCAGCTCTCCCTGCTGATGCTCCACGACTTTCGTCATTCAGGTTCCTCGGCGCTTAGCCACTGGCTATTTTGTCAGTTGCTTAGGGTTTAGAGTCATTTTGCCTTTATCCTTTCGACGTAGAGGATCTCAAAGCCTCCCAGTATGTGAGAGCACTTCATGGGATATTCGTCGAGGCCTTGCCCCCGATGAGTTCAGCTTTGCCTCCGCGCTCAGCGCCGCTTCTCAACGCAGCGCCTGGGAGGCGGCGCTGGCGCTGAGACACGATGCTGGGTGGAAGTGTGTATACGCTTAATATATTTTGTTCGTAGAGTATTGCATACTATATTCCATTTGTGTCTCATGTCCATAGTTTTGTACGTTTATTCAAGCTTTGTGGTGCCAGTGTCTGCTAGAGTTGCAGAGGACACGGCAGAGATGTGCGGAGTTGCGGTTGTTTCGGACATCCGTGCCAAGACCGAGGAGATGGTGTTGGACTCCGTTAGAGCTGATGCAGTGGTCGGAGGTGCATTGTTGCTGGCCGCTAGGTCTGCAAAAGCCATGTTGCAAAGCAAGTTGACAGCTCAAAAAGCGCACTTCGTCGTGACTTGTGGCACTCTGAGGCCTTGCGCAGGGGTCTTCGTTGGCAGGCGGCGGCTTCAGTTTGCCGGTAGAAGCTGCATCTTGCACAGTCTTGAGGCAGCGCTGACTCTGAGTCCTCGTGGAACGCTGCAGGCAAGAGAGCTAATTAGAGAGACCCAGCCGGTTGATGTGGTACATGCATCGCCCAGCACCGGGCTGATATTTCTGTACAGTCGTGCGTTTATTCATTTCTATCGGTCCTGTTCTAGTACTTTCTGGAGCTCCCGCGTGGCTCTTGCATCTGCTGAGCAGGTGGTCGAAGCCACAGAGGCATGCGGCTTGTCTGAAACTAAGAGTTTCAGAAAGCTGTGGGACCCTGCTAGTTCTTGCATCCCTTATAGATAGTAGGGTCCTTGCTTGAAATTAAGGATCCGCAAGTCCAGTCCAAGGACCCTAAATTCCGATGACACCTCCAGTGTGCAGTTCACTCCTCCCCCCATTAGGCAGTTTAAGCTCTATGCAAAAGCGAAATGCACGTGGCTTAAGGTTTTGGAGCTCAACAGCCCGCAGCCTTTCTATTTGGGGAGCTGCAGCGGAGGTCGGGAACCACGAAGTCGGGGTTTACAGGGCTTCATCGGGCCTTATACGGTTCCCAGTTGTGGCAAGCGCAGTCGAGGTCCAACCTAAGGGTCACAATTGCCATCTACTATTTCTACTTCAAGGTTGTTTTTTTATGTCCATTCTCATCTCCAGGCCTGAACCCGAAACCCTCCTACACCCCTTTATACCCGACGGCCCTACAAAAAGCTATCCGCAAGCCTTAGGTCCATTTCGAACTCCAAAACCTGTTCTCCCGGTCAGCGATCTTGGCTTACATGATTGTTTGCTGCCTAACAAGCCAGTAATCGCATAGCAACCACGGGCGGCCGCCAATGCACAGGTAACCGCTAACTGTACAGGTACTGTATCAAGGAAATCACCACCCTGAAGCCCCAAACTGTCCATCGGCACCCAGATATTACGGTGACCTGACAAAATCTCAACACTTTTTCTGGGCGGGCAGGCAGTTGGCCTTGTGGCGCCCGCGCAGCCTCCTCGGCGGTCGAAGCGCTGGCATTGGCGAGGCATGCATGGCGAGGGAGGAGCAGAGGTTAGAGTCTGAGGGTTCAGAGGTTGTCTTAGGGGTAGCGGGTGTAGGGTGGGTAGAGTTCAGGGTTTTGGAGTTCGGGTTAAAGGGTATTTCGGTTCAAGGGTTCAAGGGTCTTCGGGTTCGAGGGCTTGGGGATGCTTCTTACTTGTACCTTACCGGATTTTTCGGGTTCTAGAACCAAGAGCCTGATAACTTAAATGAAGATAACCCGTTTGGTAGACAATATTGAGCTCTGCTTAGCCCTTATAAGACCTACTCAGAGATTCATTCCAGGGAACTCCCCGTAGCTGCCTGCTAAGGCATCCGTACTCCACGAGCTACTGCGGTCGCTCCATGGCGGATTTGCTCAGGCGCGTGTTCTGTACCATCACAAATCACTGACCCCAAGCCTAAGCCATTTTTCGCCGAGAGGGTGGAGCTTCGCTGTGCCTGTAGCTTTTTGCAAGTGACAGGCTTGAGCATCGCATATCAGAAGCTCTAAACTGTGAAGCCCTTCACCCCAAACCCCTACTGCAATATGCACCTCTCCTGACACGAGCTGGTTGGGCTGCTAGGAATGATTTTCAGAGCTTTAGCCCGTTCACCTCGAGTCTTGCTGCTCACTGGACTGCAAGCGCCGTTGAAGTTGGTTCAACAGCAAGCATGTTCCCTCAATCTTAATTTGGCCTTTCGTGCCAGCAGTCTTTAATTCCATAAGCAGCTGCATTTGCAGCCAGCGCGCGAGATCTGAATGGGATAGATGCTCCACAGTCCACAGAAATCTACATCTCCTACAGCTCGACAGGCCTTTGCCCGCCGCGTTGCAGTGGCAATGCCGGTGGAGCTTGGTGTCTTTCCACCCCTGAGCGCCAAGGACCTGAGAAACCGGGCGGTGGAGGGTTTGGAGTGGCTGTTGCCTGTGCAGCTGAATGGGCTGGCAGGATGAGGCGGAGCTCCAAGACCATGGGGAAGGCTTGCCTCTGCCGGCATGGGTGAGGTCCCGTACTAGTACTAGCAAGCTGGGCGAAGCTGCCAGTACCAGTCCCTCCTCGAATGCATCCATCAGTGCATCATCTCCACATGGGAAGTTGTCAAGCTTCTTGAAAGGGGTGAAGCCTCCTCGCCGCGTTGCCGCTGGTGGTGCCGTTCCCAGAGCAAGGAGAGCGTTAAGTCGCTTCTCTTAACCTTGAGTGTTGGGCTCTCGCAGGACCCTGATGGTGTGGCTTTCATTCCGCCTGTCACTTCAGCGCCGCGCTGGACCTGGCTTGCAATTGAATCATTGACCTTGTGGCATGCTTGACGAATGCAGGCATCTGTTGCATTTCCGAAGGAGCGGACATCCTGCTTTGCAATGAGTCCGCGGACGAGTGGATCGCTGCACGTGCCGAACAAAATTGTGAGTGGATGCTGCGTTCCGCCAGAGCCTGCGTTCGGCGATGGTCCGCGATTCCCTGCAACCGTGCCCTGACAAGCTCCATGCAATGCCCTGTGCCCTTCGCCAGTCCGCCTTTCGTGGCAGCATCGCCAACCGAGGCCGGGGTATGTCGAGATGATTTTTGCAAAAGTCACCGCAAGAGTGCGTGTGAGCTTTTGATCGGACTTGATTTGTCTGAACCTGGTTAGACATGATATCGCTTTGGTTTGACTGTTAGCACTGGAGGAAGGGAATGCAAGGCGAGAGCTGGAGCTTCAAGGGAAGAAGAGGTCTCAGTCAAAGGCAAGAAAGGAAAGCGGAGCTTTCTACCGGCGCCCTTCCTGAGACTTGGGGTTTAGGCCTCGGTTCCGAGCATGTTCTCTTGCGCCAGGGCCTGCCGCTGCAAACTCCAGATGCCGAGACCTTTGTCCAGACACGCGAGAAGTAGTTGGAAGCGAAAGGACGAGACAGAGAGCGGGAACGCGCTCGCGATGATCAGAATGCCGGGGGCGAATGGGGAGTTGGGTTTGCGCATGCCAAAATACGCTGTCTCTCCTTGCTGCTTCTCTAGCCGACCGTATCGTTGGACATTGGTGTAGAGCGCAAAGGGAGGGGTTTCAGCCGCCCAGCAAGCAAGCATGAGCGGGGTAGACGTCTGTGCTCTGAAAGGTCTGTCACTTTCTTCGAGCCGACCTCAACGCCGTGCCAGCTCTGCCTCAGCGAACTGAGGAGGCCTAGGGCCCCATTTTGAAGAAGAGCTGTGCTTTGGACTTCCTGGATTGCAGCTTCCTACGCGTTCATGTGATCAGCCAACTCCCTTTCTCGGGACCTTCTGCAGGTCCGTCCGGGCCGCGGCTGCGGGCTGGGGCCTCGGTAGTTGCCTGCGCTCTGGAGCTTCGAGATGTTGCTCCCAAGGCATAGCCCGGTGCACTCTAGAGGCCGTCTGGATGTCACGGTCACTCTGGCCCTGCAGTTCTCCGAAGCATGCTTTCCTTTCGAAATTCCGGAAGGCCGGTGTGACAACTTCATGGTTACCATGCCTCGGCAGGACCCTCAAAGGCAGGGCACTGCTTGGAGTGCTACGTCTGCCCTCCACGTTGCCATTTAAGCACTGCTTACTCCTGGTTCGGTTAAGAGTTTGGTTGTGTCCAAGCTGAGAGATCTTTGAGCAGCGAAGAAGTGCACGAAGCTGGAAGGTGCAGGCAGAGTGCATACTTCCCAAAGCATCCCCACATGCGAGGTCATGAATACGCCTAGACTACCCAATTACCCATTCACTTGATGATCTCGTTGGTGTGAGTCAGACCGAATGTCATTCTGCAAGGATGACGTCGCCTGAGACATCTCCCATTCGCCACAATCTCAATGACAGTGCGTTTCACGAAAGCTCTGCGCACGAACTCTAGGGTACTCTAGGGTGCTAGGGAGTCCAATGCGGAGTATGGCTGCCATTCTTCATCAAGCCCTTTTGGGCCTTCCAGTTCTGCATGAGGGAAGCGTTGAAGGGGAGTATTGGCAGAAGATGCCAGGGACATCCACGACCGAGCCATCAGCGACTCATCGGGATGTCCAAACACCCCCCAGACTTGAACTTCATTGCCTATGATCGCCTATGAAGACCATAGCAAACCATAGCAAAGCAAAAGTTGCTTCTTTTAGCAAACACGGCGATGGCCGAGAGCTGCGAATCGGGCGGCTCGGAGGGAGGCGCGCAGACCTCGCAACAAAGGAAGAGGGGAAGTCAGAGGAAGAGAGTCCCCCCTTTTTTCTTTGTTTTAAGCAAGTTGCCCCTGCTGCGGAAAGGGGAAGACGTCGTTGCACGAGCCTCCAAGCGCCCGCGAACTGGAGGCGCTCTTCACCGGCTTCACCTTTCTTGTTTCTCTTTTACAGCGTCTCTTGTGGAGGTCGAGCCCGGCAGAGCCGCGGCGTGTCGGCGGGCACGGGCTCCGTGTGCAAGCTCTTCGTGAAGAGGGTGGGCCGCCGTGGATGTCTCTGGGCCTTTGCCACCCAGAGACCTTGCCAGCAGCGACAGGTCCCATGCAACTTTGCTGACCCGTGGCGCAAGCACAGCACGTCCCTCAGCTGGTGGACTTACCAGTATGCGCAACAGTCTATTCGGGACTCCGTTTATGGGGCCTGGATGGACTTGGTCGAAGGTTTGTGAATAGTTGTAGCGGTCTCTGCGGCATGTGAGAGGCCAGAGTGCCTCTACGGGCACAGGCTTCCTCCTTGATGGCAGGCCGGACTCGGACCATTCCATTTAGACCTCGTCTCTTCCGCTCACTTGGCCATGGCCCCTGTTTCTCTTTCCAAGAGGTTCGTGATTACCAATGCGCATGTGGTGCATCGCGCTGTCTCGGTGCTCGTCCGTGCGACGGTCGGGCCACCAGTGAAGTGGAATGCAAGGCCTGGCATGCGGCATTTCACAAAGCGCAGATGGTTCCAAAACGCTTTATTCGGTGTTGTGTGCGTGTTTGTGTGTGTGTATGTATGTATGTATGTATGTATGTCTGTATGTATGTAGGTAGGTAGGTAGGTAGGTAGGTAGGTAAGTAGGTAGGTAGGTAGGTACGTAGGTAGGCATGCACGCATGCATTCATGCATTCATGCAT